TAGAACAGACATTACTGAAATTCATACAGAACCAAAAACAACCCAAATAGTCAAAGAAATGCTGACCAAGTAAAAAAGAATGGTGGTATCACACTCCTATATGTCAGGCTAACCTACATAGCTATAATAATCAAAACAGTATGGTACTAGAATTAAAAAAAAACATACAAGACCAATGGAATAAGAAAAGCCCAGAAATAAATACACATAAAATGAGAGTTAATCTACAACAAAGGAGCCAAGAGTATACAATAGAAAGGAAAATCTCCACAATAAATGTTGCTGGAAACAACTGGATGGCCACATGCAAAAGTATGAAATTAGATCACCATCTCACACCTTATACAAAAATTAACTCAAAATAGATTAAAGACATGGGTATAACACCCAAATGATAAAGTACACAGACAAAAACATAGGCAAAACCCTACCACACAGGCTTCAGTGAGTCTCTATGGATTTGTCTCCAACAGCAAGAAAAACAAAAGAGCACATAAACAGCTGGGACTACATATATCTATGAAAAACCTGCACAGTGAAAGAAATTATCACGAAAAGAGAAAGACACCTTAATGAGTGGGAGAAAACACATGCACAGCACACACGTGACAAGGGGCCAATATCCAAGATCTATAAAGAACTCATACAACTGAACAAAAATAAAATATAGAAATCAATTAAAAAATAGGGCAGAAGAGCTAAAAAGATATTTCTCCAAAGAAGACATACCAACAGACACATGAAAAAATGCTCACCTTTGCTGATCTTTAGGGAAATGCAAACCAAAACAACGAGATATACCCTCCCACACCTACGAAAATGGCCCCTATCAAAAAGACCAGAAACAATAAGTATTAGCAAGGATATAGAGGAAAAAAAGAACCCTTGTACTCTGTGGAAATGTATACTCATCCAGCCCCTGTGGAAAACAGTATGAAGATTTCTCAAAAGATTAAAAGTGGATCTACCATATGATCCAGCATTCTACTCCTAGGTATCTACCCAAAGAAAAACACAAATATGAAGGGATATATGCACTCCTAGGTTCACTGTAGCACTATTTACAATAGCTAAGCTATAGTGTTTGTTTGTGTGTGTGAGATGTATATGGATGGAATACTACTCAGCTATTAAAAAAATTAAACTCTTGCCATACTATGAACGTAAAGGATGGGATTATACTAACCAAAATAAGTCAAAAGAAGCAGCAAATACCAGATGGTGCCATTTTATGTGGAATATAGAGAAACAAAGCAAAGGGCCAGATTAAGCCAAATCAGTAACAAACCCTAGAAATGTAAGTGTAGTTCTGAGGCTACCAGAGTAGGAGGGGATGGGAAAGCAAGCAAAGTGGGGAGGGAGCAGGATGGAATATGGCGGAGGACTATCATGTCTTGGTGGAATGTGTGGTGAGATACAAACACCTGAAGGGATGATCCTATATCTCTATATCATATCAATTATTGTAGATCACTAACAGACATTTATTGTTAGTTAATAAAAAATTCATTCATTCGTTAAATAAATCTGCATATATTTTCCAAATTAAAAAAAGAGAAAGAAATCAAAACCTAACAAGAGCCAAGTATAAACAGCAAGCTAAGCTTTTCCAAATAAGGCAGAGATTTACATAATAGTCAAATAATTTCCTTGTTTTTGCTTCCTCCTTGTCTCATAAGTATTCCCCCTACCCCCTATCAGGAGAGCACTCTTAACAACTTCTAGTTTGGCACTGTCTGATTTGAATTTTTATTTGCTCAAATAAACTCTGTACATTAAAAAATAATTATTTAAAAAAGAAAAATTCAGATCTACTTGATTGTACTCTTCTGAATTCTTGGGCACTAGGTGCCCCTAGCTTAACCTTAATATACTACTATTTTTCTTAGTGTTTCTAAGTTCCATTTTGGCCTTAGTTCATTAATAATACACTGATGTATTTAAATAATCTAAAATCCAAGCAAAGAAACCAGAGATGATAAATAATAACGGCAAACCAGGAAATCACTAGAAAAGTAAAAGTCTGAGCTCCCTAAGACTTTTATTAGAGCTGTAAATCATATCACCCAAAAGGGAAGTTGGGGAGGCTTGTACACAATCAGGTCTAACTGAATGGCAGAACTGGCAATAACTACAGACGCAATGCCAACAATACTTGGCTGATTGCCACCATGAGTAACATTTGTCAAGCATTTGTATGACTTAGCTACACTACAAAGCAGCTAAGCTATATAGTTCACAACATTTCAGTTAATTATACTTCTATAAATAATCCACAGCCAAACTGAAAGCTCAATGAGCCAGCTGAAAGCTTGATTCATTTGGGGAAAAATCAGATGCTCTAGCATTGAAGTGAATAGCCCAATACCATTTCCCAACATTCAAAACCCCATGAATACGTTTAGGGACTGAGAAGAGGCACCTACTGAAATGTAAAGTGATCTACTCACTACTTTTAGAACATTTTCTACTTTTTTTACTTTTGTATCTCCCTCCCAAATAACCCAGTCTCCTCCGGATCAACAATTAGATCATCCAAAATCTGGCTCCTCTCAGAGGAATGCAAATTTGCCTAGTGCACTGTACACTTTCTGGAAACAGATCAAGGGAACTAGAGAAAATGTGCTGCATTCAAATCTTCAGGCTGAATGGGTAGTCCTGCAGAGCTACTACTTTCAAAGCTGACACTGACAGTTAGCTCTACAAACAACTAAGAGAGTTCACTGGTGCCAAACAGGATGTCCCTGCTAGGAAGTTCACTGATTACAAATGTTACTGGGTATCATAACAAGCAATCATGTGCCAAGATTCTGGAGCTGAGATTAACCACTGAAAGACAACATGGGAAATATGGGAAGCCTATCCTCATGAAACCAGAGCTCAGTGGGAATGCAGCATTTAACCCTTCCATTTATAAGCCTTTACGGAGGGCGACTGGGATCATTACAAAACTGAAGATAATAAAAGTCTCCATGCAATAACTCAGGGCTACTATGAACCAAGGCAAAGATGGGGAGCAAAGTTCGTGACCTGAGGCTTATCTGGACTTCAAAACAATCTACTTTATATTCATGATGAGGATGAATCAAAGGTACCCCACTCAACTGTACTGTTATATTTTGCCTGACAACATCTGATTAGGAAAGCATGAGAGGCAATATCCCCCCTTGTGGAGACACAGAACGGAGGAAGGGAAGGAAAGAGAACTGAACAAAGAGGAAGAAGAGGGGAATCTACAGCAGCAGCACACTCCTTGATTAAGTTGAGTGCTTCAAGGTTTATTTCTTTATTTTTCTCCCATATTTATCCAGCTTCAACACACTTCAATTTTTTCCTCCGATTCTGAATTCTCACATATTTGAACAAGAAAAAAATAGAAAAAGAAAAAGAAAATCTCAAGGAACTATTCTTAAAGCTTTGTAAAAGTACAAAAATTATAATTTCATAGAAAAGCCATTTGGTTCCAGGCTCTGTAGTTGATTTTATTCTATAATAATAATTTACACCACTTACAACATGCTAAGGATTTTAAATATACCATCATATCAATACACATCAATCCTCTTGATAACTCTATGAGATTAAGATACAGGACTTCCGCAGCAACCCAGAAGTTGCAAGATCTCACAACAAGCTGACAGAGGAGCAAGGCACTGAAGGCCCAAACCTATATTTACCTTATATGCTATACTTAACTCTATACTTTGCACATTTAGAAAAGGTACTTTCTATACAACACAGAACTCAAGTTCTTCTACCTTAGGTCACAAGCCCTTTCTATTTTTAGAACGAATCACCATAGGAGTTTAGCAGATGGCAAGTGTTCCTGAAGTCCCAGTCTGGATACATGCCACTATCAGGTGAACACAGGGCGAAAGGGTAAAAGGATGGATTGGCTAAATCTGCTAAAATTATACATCAAGAACTAACTGAAAGCACAGCTGACACAGGAAACAGGACCTAGAACAAGCTACAACTGATCAAAGTAGAGCATGTTAAAATTTAAATCAAAGGTAAAGCCTTCTCTTGATTTTTAGGGCAACTAGCTCACCCTTGTGGACAGAAAACTATGCAACCACCAAAGTCCTCCCATACCACCTCATTAACTGTGCTAAAACTGGGGAAGCTGACTCAGACCAGTAGATAGCCTTGATGATTTCAGTTTAAGCAAATTATCTAAGCAGATCTACATAGCATCTATAGCTAAGCAACCCTATACTTTATAATGCGGGAGGTTTCTGAAAAGATTTATAAATTCAAATATAAATCAAGAATTTGTTGAAAATAATGTAGAAAGAGTCTCATTATTTATGAATGAATGTCTATTGTGCAACTGAGGTAATATATCTCTCAATCTGGTAGAAATCACCCAAATTCTTGATTTATTGAAACCTAATTCTAATTTACAGACTTAATGTACCAACCTTCCACTTAGAAAAGGGGGTAATATGATGACCATCTAAGAATGGACTCTTTGTAGATAACATCTGGCTTACTGTTAAATATGGCAATCTCCTGAGGCTCATAAAACCCCAGCTCAGCTTTCACTGGCAAGAATTGGTAAAGTAAAAATATGAGAACAACTAGCCCCATTTCCACATAAAACTACTTGGGAAAAATTTAGGGAGGACATATCATATTCATCCAACAGAGAGAATAAAAACTGGGTTTTTCTCACCATTACTGACACTCAAATGTTCTACCACAGAGAAAAAGATCTCTCAAAACCTACAAATGTCCTATATGCTAATGTTCTAAATTGACTTCAAAATTTTTTAAGTTTAAAAAAGACCCCACTGATCAAAAGGAAAACGTACTTCAAAAGAATTTCCCAAGACAAGTAAGTCTAATGATTAAATGGCTTTTATCAGTCAGGGGTAAAGACCCAATTCAAAAATTAGCAAACCAAAATAACATCTTAACTTTATGAGGTAATTACAACTGTAAGCTTAATAATAGGGAAGGCAGCAAACAAATGATCCTAATTTTGAATTTCTTACCCAACGCAGCACAATTTTCTTGCTTCTGGTTCTTTCCCAAAGACGCTGTCATTTTTGAATATATATCAGTCCACCAAGGATTATACTTCAAAACCTGTTCAATCGCCTCAGTCTCAAAAAAGTCAGCTCTGTGGGGAAAAAACTGAATGGCTTATTATACAGAATTAGACTGTTTTTCATTTTTAAAATGTATTATCACATTTACACTAGAAATGCAGATTGTTACTTCGAAATACTTCAAGGAAAAACTGAATAATGTATTTATTTTCTTTGTAGTCACTAATCACTATAAAAGGAAAAGTAAGCATTTGACTACCAAGATATTTGACATTTCTGATTTCTATAAATAGAAAGTACCCAGAAGTCCAGTCCTACCCTAAAGCCCCTCACTTGACTGGGATGGGATGGAGTAAATCTGAAAAACAAGTGACTAACGTTTAGCATGTGTCCTGAGTTTGCAAATACCACAGATTTTGGTAAGATTATAATAAAGGAAAGAATCTTTTGACTCCACCAATAAAGAAGAATAACACAAGAGTAGAAAATTAGAACACTATAAAACACTGCTAAAAAAAAAAAAAGAAGAAGACGACACAAAGAAATGGAAAGACATTCCCTGCTCATGGATTGGAAGAATAAGCATTATCAAAATGGCCATCCTACCAAAAGCAATCCACAAATTCAATGCTATTCCAATAAAATTTTAATGTCATTCTTCAAAGAAACAGAAAAAATATTGATGAAATTCATATGGAATCACCAAAAACCCCAAATAGCCAAAATCCTCCTGAAAAAAAAAAGAAGGGAATGGAGGCATCACATGCCCAGGCTTCAAACTATACTACAAAGCCATAATGATCAAAACTGCATGGTTTGGAACAATAACAGACACACTGACCAATGGAACCAAACAGAAAACCCAGAAATAAACCCATAGATTTATGGTCAACTAATCTTTGACAAAGGAGCAAAGAATAAGCAATGAAACAAAAAAAGTTTGTTCAATAAATGGTACTAGGAAAACTGGGTCACTACATGCAAAAGAATGAAACTTGACTACTACCTCACATCATGCACAAAAACCTACTCAAAATGGATTAATGAACTAGACATAAAACCTGAAACCATAAAATATATAGAAGGAAATATAGGCGAAACACTACATGACATGCACATCAAAGACATCTTTACAGACACATCACCCAAAGCAGTGATAGTGAAGGCAAAGATAAACAGCTGGGACTACATCAAATTAAAGAGTTTCTGCACAGCAAAAGAGACAATAACCAAAACAAGGAGAAACCCCACCAACTGGGAGAAAATTTTTGCACACAACACTAATGATAAAGGACTTATCACAAAACTCTACAAAGAGCTGATGAGACTCATCAAAAACAAAAAATAATCCAGTCAAAAAATGGGGAGAAGAGCTAAAAAGAAACTTCTCCAAAGAGGAAATGCAAATGGCCAACAGGCATATGAAAAAATGTTCAACATCACTTGTAATCAGGGAAATGCAAATCAAAACTACCATGAGATACCATCTTACACCAGTGAGAATGGCACATATCAAAAAAAACTAGCAACAGGGCCTCCCTGGTGGCGCAGCGGTTGAGCTCTGGGTTGCGAAGCTGCCCGCAGCCTCTGCAGTGCCGGTTCGATCCCCAGCTGCTCCCTGGCCACAGGAGGAGAGTCCCACATGGTGTGCAGAACTCTCCTGCCGCCCGCTGCTCCCCTCAGCAGTGTACTTCGGTCCTTCTGCCTGCTCTGCTCCCTGCTCTGACTCTGGTGAGTTCTCTCACCCTCCCACGCTTCTGACTGTACCCAGTGCTTGTATGTATAAATCAATCAATCAATCAATCAATAAATCTTTTTTAAAAAAAAACTAGCAACAACAAATGTTGGCAAGGATGTGGAGAAAAAGAACTCTCCTGCACTGCTGGTGGGAGTGCAAACTGGTCAAACCACTACAGAAAGCTGTATGGAGATTCCCCAACCTACTAGAGATAGAGCTTCCATATGATCCAGCAATTCCACTCCTAGGTATTTACTCAAATGACACAGAAACATTCATTCAAAAGGACACCTGATCCCCTATGTTTATAGCAGCACTGTTTACAATAGCCAAGCTTTGGAAAGAACCCAAATGCCCAAAAATAGATGACTGGATCAAGAAGATGTTATATATATATATATATTCTCAGTGGAATATTACTCAGCAATCAAAACAGATAAACTCATGCAATTTGCAGCAACATGGATGGAGCTAGAAAGGATCATGCTCAGCGAAATAAGCCAGAAAGAAAAACAAAAATACCGGATGGTCTCATTCATAGCAGGAATCTAGAAAACCTAAATAAGGGACCAGGAAAAAGAATAACTATAATAAAGAAAAAATCAAAATCAACAAGCAACTATAAACCAGAGACACACTATGGGGGGGAGTGGGGGGAGGAGAGATTGGGGTCAACATAAGGGGGGTGCAATTTTATGGGGAATATTAAAAAAAACTTAAAAAAAAGAAAAAAAATTCCTTGAGACAAAATAAAATGAAGACACAACATCAGAACCTAGAGGAATAGCAAAAGCACTACTAAGAAAGAAGTGTTTAGCAATACAGGCCCACATCAAGAAAAAAGAGCTCAAGTAAATAATTTTACCTTACAGCCTAAAGAAGTAGAAAAAGAACACAGATAGCCAAAAGCCAGTAGAAGTAAGGAAATAATAAAAATTAGAGCAGAATAAATGAAACAGAAATCAAAAAGTACAAGAGATCAACAAAACCAAAAGATGGCTTTTTGTCAAAAGTTAACATAATAGACAAACCTCTAGCTAGACAAACTAAGGGCAGAAACGGGAGAAATTCCAATAAATAGAATCAGAAATGAAAAAGAAGTTATAATTGACATTTCAGAAATACAGCAAACCATAAGCAATGACCACAAATCTATGAGCCAGCAAACTGAATAACCTCGAGGAAATGGACAAATTCTAAGGAAACTACGACCCTCTCAAAAGAAATAGAAAACCTGGACAGACCAATTACAAGCAAGGAAATTGAAACAGAAGATAGAAGTTTCTTAAAAAAACAAAAGCTCAGGCCAAATGGTTTCACAAGTCAGTTCTGTCAAACCTTCAAAGATGAACTAATACTAATCTTTCTCAAAACGTTCAAAAAATTTGAAAAAGATGGAATGTTTCCAAACAATCTATAAGGCCAACATCACTCTGATACCAAAAGCAGAGAAGGATATCACAAAAAAGGAAAATTACAGGCCAATTTCCTTGATGAACATGAGATGCAAAAATTTTCAACAAAACTCTAGTAAACCAAATTTAACAACACATCAAAATGACTATATATCATGACAATGTAGAATTTACTCCAGGGACACAAGAATGGTCCAAAATCCAAATAATCAGTCACTGCAATTCACCACATCAACAAATGGAAAGATGAAAATCATATGATCAATACAGAGAACATGCATGACAAGATTCAATAGCCATTTATGATAAAAACTCCCAAAAATGGGATAATGGAGCATATCTCAACATAATAATCATCATATATGCCAAATGTATAGCTAATACCATACTCAATGCTGAAAGCCTGAAAGCTTTTTCTCTAAGATCTACTACAGGACAAAAATGTCCACTTTCACACAGTATTGAAGTCATAGATAGAGCAATTATAGGTAACAGAAGGATATAAAAGGAATACAAATTTGAAACAAAAAAGGTAAAACTATCACTGTCACATTTGCAAATAACTTGATAATATACATAGAAAACCCTAAAGATTCCACTAAAAACTAATTAATACAGTAAATCAATACACTTAAAGGGCCTCCCTGGTGGCCTAGGGGTTAAGTTTCAGTGTTTCAATCGCTTTGGACCATCTCAAAGACTTGAGATCTATCCCCAGTCAGGGAGCTAAACCACATATGGCACAGCAGACCTCTCCTGTCTCCCCTGCTGCTCCCCTCAGCAGTGTATTTCACTAAATCTTCCTGTTCTGCTCCCCATTCCGTGTCTGGTAAATCCTCTTACACACACACACACACACCCCCCACACACACACACCCCTCTAGCCTAGAACCCAGATCTTCTATGCAAAAATAAATAAAAATTAAAAAAAGAAGAAGAGAAGCCCTGAGCTGAGGGAGCTCAAAACTAAAAAAAAATAATAAAGTTGCTGGTAACAAAATCAATTTACAAAAATCAGTTCCATTTCTATCTATATGCAAACAAGGTATAATCAAAAGAAAACAATCCCATTTACAATCACATTAACTATACTACAGAACTACATTAAAACAACATGGTACTGGAATAAAAACATATACAGACCAATGGAATAGAACTGAGCCCAGAGATAAACCTGTACATAAAAAGACAGCTAATTTACAAGAAAGGTACTCTCAAGAAAGGAAAATCTCCATAATGAATGGTATTGAAAAAAATGGACAGCCACATGCAAAAGAATGAAACTAGAGCACCATCTCACAACTTACACAAAAATTAACTGATAATGGATTAAAGACATGAACATAAGACCCAAAACCATAAAATACATTTTTTTAAAAATTGGCAAAACTGGGCCTCCCTGGTGGCACAAGGGGTTAAGACGCAACCTATGAAGCTGTCCTCAGCCTCTGCAGCACGAGTTCGATCCCCAGGCAGCCAGGAAGCAAAACAAAGGGGGCAGCAGGCCTCTCCTGACTTGCCCGCTGCTCCCCTCAGCAGTGTATTTCAGTCAATCTGCCTGTTCTGTTCCCCACTCTGTCTCTGGTGAATCCTCTTACCCCCCACAGCTCAGGCCTGTACCCCAGCTTTTGTATGCATAAATAAATAAATCTTTAAAAAAAAAATTGGCAAAACCCCACAACAAAGGCTTCACTGATGTCTCTATGGATTTATTTACAAAAGCAAGAAAAAAAAACAAGAGAAAATAAACAACTGGGGCTACCTCAAACTAAAATGCTTTCACACACCAGAAAAAAGTTATCATTAAACCAAAAAGACATCCAAGTGATTGGGAAAGATGACTGTACATCATACATATGGAAAGGGGCTGAACATAAAGATATATAAAGATCTCATATAACTCAACAAAAATAAAACA